GCTCGAACCGCTGAAGGACCTGCTGCACCATGTGTGACTGTGAGATTGTAATGGTGCGAGCGGCTCTGTCCCTGGTGATCTGCAGGCCAAGGTAGTGGCGCAACTCACCAATGTCAGTGCACGTGTGTCTCTTCTGCAGTTCGCGCTTCACGTCAGCCAAAGCAACCCTGTCAGCAATGGCGAAAACCAGGTCGTCGACGAAGACCAGTACAAAGAACGGTATGGAGCCACGCCGAACAAACAGCGACGGGTTGGCAGAAGATGGCTGGAAACCGAGGTCAGACAGGGTAGAACGAAGGGTGTTGTGCCACTCACGAGGAGCGTGAGGGAGACCGTAGACCGGTCGCCCCAGCCTCCACTGGGTCCCAGGAGGGAAATCGCCAGTGAAGGCAGAGGGACGACGCAGTCAGACCTCCTCGTGTAGGCTATCCTGAAGGAATGCAGTAGAGAAGTCGAGAGAGTGTAACTCGTAGTCTCTCTGTGCTGCTACATGCAGTAACACCCGAAGAGTGGTCATCTTCGGGGTAGGCGCGAAGGTCTGAAAGAAGTCAACTCCCTCGCGCTGACTGAAACCTCTAGCCACATAGCGCGCCTTGAAGACCGGAGGAGATCCTGGTGGCCGCTTCACCCTGAAAATCCATATGCCATCGACTACGTTTGCCCCAGGGGGGGGAACCTCGTCGACGTAAGTGCCTGTGGATTTGTTGGAGGCCATCTCTGAGTCCATGGCAGCTCTCCAATGAGAGGCCCAAGGCCCTGACACTGCCTCAGCGTAAGTGCGAGGAGTCGGTATGTCAAGGGCGTCGGGGTCTCCCTCAGGGGCGAGCAGCATGGCACAGAGATGAGGGGAAGCGGCTGCCAGGAACTCTAGCTCAAACTGCTTATCCTCTAGGGCGTCACAGCCAAGGGCAGACTCACCCCCGACGGCCAGAGGACTGGTAGGAGGAGCAGCCACAAGACTGGTGGCGTAGTCAAGGCGGCGAGTAGATGCGAACTCAGTGACTGCGGCAGTAAGAGCGGAGACAGAGGACAGAGAAGCACGTGGGTCGATAACAAGAGAGGCGAGAACACGAGAGAGAACAGGACAGTACGTGCGGTAGTAGTCCGTAACAGGAGTAGAGAGGGAAGCAGTGAGAGCCGACTCAGGAGGAGAAGGAAGTACAGAATTAGACGAACAAGGCGGACTAGAACAAAACAGGGCAGTACGAAGGTCAGAGAAGGGAACACGGGACGAGGGACGAGCATGAGGAGAGCGACGCGAGGGCCAAGTGTGAGGAAGAGGAGGGGACAACGGAGGCAGAGAAGGAGGGAAAACAGCTGGGGAGGGGTTAGGAGGAGGAAGCGGAGTAAGCGTCATGTGGTCGCGGAAGAAACAGTGCGAAGCTTCGGAGTCCAGAGTGAACGACAGCGAAGTGTCATTCGAAGCAGCTACTGGACTAGTGTCTACACAAGTACTTACGCTAGCAACATGCACCTCAGCAACACAAGCACCTAAGCTAACAACACTCGAGTCAACAGAGTCAGAAGCACTAGAGTCAACAACAGCATACATAGCATGAGGAGATCCTAAGAGATCAAGCAACTAAGAAGCCGCCATGCCCCACAGAGCGAGGCCGTATCGCTGAACAAGGGGAAGCTAGTCAGGGGTAGGGCCGTCAACCCCGTAGGCCGCACGAAGTGTGTCAGTGAGCTGAGAAAAGCACTGACCCGGTGGGGGTGGGTGCGGCCATAGGGGAGGCCTCGGCGAGTTCTTGTCTGAATGATATAGGTGCATGGAGGGTGGACGGCACCACGCGACTGCTGACGCGGTCCAGACCCCTGCCACGGAGCCTGCTGCTGTTGTGGCTGCTGCGAGAGAAGTGGCTGTTGCTGCTGCTGCCGCTGAGTCAGGTACCAAGCCGCCACTCCAGCACCTGCAGCTGGCGGACAAGTAGGTGCCTGACAAATCCGAGCGTCACCTCCAACAACTGTAGCAGGGGAGTCACTAGCCGCTGCACGAGACGCTCCTCCAACCTCTGTACTCCCGCCACTGCCGCTCGCCACACCACCTCCGCCACCTCCGCCACCTCCGCCACCTCTGCCACCTCTGCCACCTCCGCCTGCACCCTGACCGCCCCTCCTGCCGCTCCTACCCCTAGACCGCGAAGAAGTCGTAATAGCAGCTGCGGTCACGTCAGTAGCGGCAGTGGCAAGGGAGGCAGTAAAGGTGGGCAGCTGAGGGACATTGCACCCGTGAAACAGTGGAGGGGGCACAACACCAGAGGCGGAGGCAACCGAGCGGAGGTTGCTCTCGACGTCCTTGAGGGCAGACTCAAGGACCTCGATAGTGAGCTTGCTAGGGTGCTTCAGAACAAGCGCGTCATGAACCGAGGCAAGGCAGTCAGGGAGGCTAGTGGTGATGAAATAGATAGTAATTTTCATAGGGGGAGGGAGCAGTGCAAGTCGTTCGTCAGTGCAAGCAACGCGGTAGCTGGAATCGAGCGAGCGCAGGTGAGCGATCAAGTCAGCAGAGCGCTCAAACGAGGCAAGTTTAGGAAACGGGAACGGGAGGGACAGGCGACCAAGAGAGACTGTGGTGGGAGTAGCGTAGCGGACCTTGATCGCAGTCAGGAACTCACTAGCCTTGCGAACCTGAGTGAAGTGGGCCTCCTCAGACCCAGGGAGGAGGCTGCTGAGGGCGATGCAGGCCGCAGCGTTACGCGACTTCCACGCTGTGAGGTCAGCACGCTGGCGGGCATAATGATCTCTGACTGCATCGCGGCCTAAGGGTGCATGATCGTTAGGCTTAGGAAGGTCGACAGAAGCGTGCGCCCACAGAGACTCATCTGCATGAACCTGACTCTCTAAAAGGCGGCGCGCACGCAGGAGCCAGACGGAGAACTCAAGCGGCCTACCCTCGGCGTCAAAGCGCAGAACCCTAGGGGTCGCCATAGCGGTAGCGAAGGGGTGGGAACTGTTGTTGCCGAAACCCTAAACGCCTTGAGGGCATGCGTAGAGCGTGACAGACAGTGCGGCGCGACGGACAGGACGCGACTGGCAGGGACGGGCGCAACAGGCATGAACGGGCAGAGCGCACGGGGCGCGACGGACGGGCAGGGCGCACGGGGCGCCACGGACGGGCTGGGCGCACGGGGCGTGACTGACGGGCAGGGCGCAGCGGGGGCGCGACGGATGAGCAGGGCGGAGCGGGGGCGCGACGGACGGGTTGGGCGCACGGGGCGCGACGGACGGGCAGGGCGCAGCGGGGACGCGACGGACGGGCAGGGGGCACGGGGCGCGACGGACGGGCAGGGCGCACGGGGCGCGTGCGACGGGGCGGGACGGGAAGTGCGACGCGGACGGGACGGGACGGACGGCGCGACGCTGCAGGACAACGCGACGCGACGGGACAGCAGGGACAGGCGCGACGCGGCCGGACAGCAGGGGGTGACGCGACGGGACAGCAGGGACGACGGGACGGGACGGGACAGCAGGGAGTACGGGACGGGACGGGACAGCAGGGGGGACGCGACGGCAGGCGCAGCGAGCGCTAAAGCACGAGAGAGACGAGCAGGATAGGCGTTAGGGGCGTAACGGGCACTAGGGTACGGGACAGGCTCGGGCGCTACGGACGTGAACGAGAGGAACGAGATCCCACAGGATCCTAACCTAGGTGATACCATGTCAAGAATGAAAGTGTTGGTTTGACTAAGGTTGGTTGGGGTACATAAACCTAACCCTAACAGTTGTACCCCCCATAACACACATCACTAAGACTACAACATTTGACAAGCGCGCCCTTTGCTGCCGTCGTTGTTGCGTGTGCCGCCACTACTGCTGTACCTAGGGCTGCTCCATCGCATACGTTGCTGCCTCTACTGCAATGGCTAGCGCACCCAGCAGCCGCGCCTGCATGCCGCCAGCGCTAGCAGCTAACCGTGCGCTGTTGGCCCGCCGACAGCCCACGCCAGCCGCGGGCGTACGACAAGGCCGATGCGTCCGTAGAGTCACTGCAATGGTCAATGAATGAGGAGCTTTAGGACATTTACTCTCCCTTCTCCAACAAGCACGGCAATGCAACACTTCAGGATTTTGCCCAAAGGATATTGATTCTTCCGTGGCGGAGAGCTTTGAGTTTCAGAGTAAGATGAAAATCTTTAGCTAATGTACAACGAGTTGGTTTGGAAACATGAACTAGAACTGATGCTGGAAAATAATATAACTAGTATCTGTGAAAATCCAAAATGGCTAGTCGGGTACTACCCTATCAATGCTTTGACAGAAATTACTGTCCAGCTGGCGGGAACATGATAACGAGTACCAGCACCTACGTATATAGTTGGGCTGAACCTTATTTTCCTCACGGCTCATGGTCGAGCCGCATGGCGGCGGCGCATGGCGGCACAAAGGAGCACCCCTTCCGACCCGACCCCAACCCGAGCGCTTGCGCATGGCGTTCCTATTGAGCAAGATCTTGCAGCTCATGAATGCCGTGCCCTGGTTTGAACACTCGTTTCCGGTCAGCTTTAGCGTGGGATGGGAAACCAGATGGAATTGCCAGGAGGGAAAACAAATGCAGAGTCTAGGATCCCTGATAAAACTTCACTGCGTCACTTGAATTTAGGCCATTGTAATGACACACTTTCCCTGGAAAGTCAAGGCTTTTCTCGGGAACTGCAGCTCCGGGTCACCCATGAGCCCCTCGTACGGAAAGCAGGTTGCGCTTGCGATTCTGATCAGCCACAGTAGGCCAGTGCCAAACCGCTTATTATCAAGAGCACACTCTTCTGGTGTGCTCACTGGGGAGTGAGGTCCTGTCACTATCATAGTACGCTTTTGAGAATTCTCAAAAGTAACAGCAACATAGAACGGGTGTGCGATCTGCTCCCGACGCAATGGCTTCTCCACAGGCCTCCCTGCGCATCTGCTGCTACCTCCACGCCGCCTTGCTGCTCGCGCTTCTACTGCTGCTAGCTCCGCCGCGCGGAACGAATGCGGCGACGCGCGTCGTGATTGCGCCGATGCGCGGATCGAAAGACCGCGTTGAGGTGTTTAAGCTGCCGGAGAACCTCTGGTTCGCGGGAACCGCGCAGCTGCCGCCGTTTGAAGGCGCTGCTGACGGTGGCGCCTCCTCTACCGGCGCCGGTGCCGGGAACAGCGGCGGAGATAGTACCAGCAGCGGAAACCACGGCACCAACGCCGTCGATTATCGCGCATCTGACTCGCCCGACTCGGAATCGTTGAAGGAGGAGCTGCTTGCGCGGATTCGCGGCGGCGGACTCAATGAGAAGACGCGCGAGGCTCTGGCGGGAGCAGCAAGCTCCGCCTCGGAGGCGGCCGCCGCTGCATCTGCGCCCGCCGCTGCGCCTGCGAGCGCGCCGGCTCCCGCTGTGGATCCGCTCGAGCAACAGATGGTAGGCTCGCGTCTGAGTCTGTGTGCCGCGGTTCACTCCCCGGGCCCGTTGCGCTTCCCCCCGCGTAGGCCTTGCGCGACACCCAGTACAGCGGTCAAAGTTAAAAAGGTTTTCCAAGGCTCATGCCAAGTACTACCCGGGCACTGATGTGTTGCGCTATGCTCATCGAGCCACACGTTTCCCGCAATCGCCGAAAGGTTCCCAAAGTTTTCTTTCTTCCCGCTTTCCGCAAAACAGGAACAGCGATTGGCGGAGGTGGGGGAATTTTCGGCGCGCTCGACGGAGCTGAAACAAGTGGTGAAGCGGAAACCGGCGGTTGGGTTCCCCGGTATAAGCCATTACACCTTAGTGAACAGTGGTACACCACCAAAATACAACGATACAGTGGTACGTTTCTTGTTTTTGTTTTTGTTGTTGTCTGATTTGCGTTGTTGTTGTTTAGCATTCCTTGCTCTAACGGTGCCTTTGTTGCTTTTCAGAACCGTGTTTCCCCTCCTGATGTCGCTCTTTGTGTGGGCAATGGCTACGTCCTTCACACTGTCAATATTGGTAAGCGGCCTTCCTTGCACCTGCTTCCTCCTCTCCCTCACTAACTGCTGCTCCTTCCCTCTTCTCCCTCCATTCCTTTTCTGCACTTCCTCTACCGTCCAACCCATTCCTCCACCCCTCCGCTTCTCCCGCGTCGCAGCGATGGTTGTGTACGACAAGCAGGGGAAGCAGCTTACTCGCATCTCCTCCCTCTTCTCACTCGATTCCTTTTGACCATTTTCGCCTCCCCCACCCTCTCTCTCTCTCGGCCCTCCTTCCCTCCTCTTCTCCCGCTGGGCAGCGATGGCTGTGTACGACAAGCAGGGGAAGCAGCTCACTCGCATAATCCCTTTCTACCCATTTTCACCTCCCCTAACCACTCCCTCTCGCCCCCCCTTCCCTCCGCTTCTCCTGCGTGGCAGCGATGGTTGTGTACGACAACAAGCAGGGGAAGCAGCTCACTCGCATCATCACAACCAACGAGGCAAGTGCTCACGCAACGCAATCATGATCCCTCTGCCTCTCCGCCCCGCTCCCGCACCTCCCTCCACACCTTGGTCTCGCTTTCTTAGTGTGCTGCCAAGAGTGGTCTTCATCGATGGTCGTCGTCGTACAAACCAGCACCATCCCACCAACCGTCCTGCTTCCCCAACCCTCATCGCAGTTTGTTGGCATGCTGTGGCGGAGAGGAGATGAGGGACCCGATAAACACATCAGCATTCTCTTGAGTCCACTCAAATGTCACCCTCCTGCCTCCCTCCCGCCTTCCACAATCCTATCCTCATTCCAGTTCTTTGGCATGCTGCCATGGGTGGTGGAGAAGAGAGACCCGTTCAACACATCAGTATTCGGAGACGATATTGGCGACATGACATGCACGTATGACCGCCAGGCCAGGCGCTTCTACCTCTCCACCTACTGGACTGTGAGTCGCGGTGGGGGTGCACTGGAGTGTGCGGTGCTGCTGGGTGCTGCTGGGTGCTGGATGAAGCCAGCGCATCAGCAGTATTTGGAGCCGGTATTGGTGACATGACATGACATGAAATGACATGCACATATGACCCCCAGGCAGGCCAAGCGCTTCTACCTTTCCACCTACTGGTCTGTGCGCTGCGCGCTGAGCCATTTACCTTTTCCGCGCCTCAATAAGTTGCTTCCTTATCCACCTACTGGGCGGATCTGCCAAGCCATTTCCCCCCCTCCTGTTGTACCCCTCCCGCAATGCCACTATCCCCCTCCTTTTGCCCTCTCGTTTTCCTACCTCCCGTTTTCCTCTCTCTCTCATCTTCCTCTCCAATTTTTCACCCTCTCATTTCCTTCCCTCTCGTTTTCCTCTCGTATTTTATCTCTCATTTCCTCCCCCTCGTTTTCCTCTCGTATTTCCACCTCTCATTCTCCTCCACCTCGCTTTCCTCCCTCTTGCCTCCTCGCCCTCAATTTCCACGCACTCGTTTTTCTTGTTGTCGTCCCTCTGATTACACACTCTCTCTACACCCTCCCTCCATCCCATTCCCATATCTCCCCACGTGCAGTCTGGGAAATCCAACAACACGTATGACAAGTTTGGGCAGACGAGGAGGCGAGGCAACATCACAGTCGGGGGAGGGCTGATAGTGGCGGCATCAACCACAGACGATCCCACGCAGCCATGGAACGTTTACTTCATTCCTGGCTCGTACGCTCTCGCCTCCTTTTTCTCATGCTTCCTCACCCATTTCCCTCACCCGTTTCCCTCACCTTTCCTCACCTGTATGCACTGTGTCTTCTAGTCTCGCCGATTCTCACTGCTTCTCACCCTTTTCTCGTTTCCCCTTACCAGTTCTCACTCTTATCCGCTGCCTCCGCATGTGTCTTCCTGCAACAGCAGCCCCATCTCACACTGGTTAGATTCCGTGCTCTGTTCTGCTCTCCTTGCTCCCCAACTTCCCACCCTCCTCCTTCCCACTGATTTCTTCCTCTCCTTCCCACAGTTTCCTCCCTCTCCTTCCCACGGTGTCCTCCCTTTCCCCAACCCCCTCCTCCTAGCAACGACGGCATCAACTCCAATGCGGCCTGGAGGGCGCCTCTTCACTTCCAGGCTTCACAGAACACTGTATCCTCCCTCAACCCCCTTCTCCCCCCCCCCCCCCCCTTTTCCCTCTCCCCTCTCCCAGCAACGATGGTATCAACTCCAATCCGGACTGGAGGGCCCCCCTTCACTACAACACGTCTCGACTCACCACTTTCCGTACGTTGGATGATGTGGCATACGATGGTGTGTGTGATGGTACAGGTGATGGCTGGGGTGCTTGTGATGGTACGGGTGATGGCTGGGGTGCATGTGATGGTATGGGTGATGGCACAGATGATGGGACATGGGACAGTGTGGTGTGGAGTGGATGATGGTTGGGTTGGGTGATGGGTGCGTACGTGTAATGAGTATCACGACAGTATGAGTATGCAAATCTTGACATGCATTGGATGTATACATGTATAAAACTATATATTTACGTATAAACATGTAATAACTGTATATATGTACATACACGTAATAAGTATGGCGTGTAACGAAAACACACAATCTGTACCGCCAAGCCGTTTCGTATTCATGCGTTATGCAAGTCAACAATCCTCTTCCGCGTCTTTCTCATTCCTGCTGCGCAATTGGCCTACTTATTCATCTGTTGCCCTTACGTCCAGAAATAACATGCTGTCTCATCCTAACCCTGTCACTTTGCGGCCTTCGGTTGTTACCCACGTGCTGTCACTCTTGCCCCCCCACCCCTCTCCCATCTTGCCCTTCTCTCCCTACCTCCCTTTTGTTTTCCTCCCCCATCAGTGGACTACCCTCAAATTGGCACCGATGCCTATGGTACGTGAGTGTTAACTTTTAAAACGTCTCAAAAGCGGCTCCCATTTTGCCCTTCTCCCCATCCCTCCCTTTTGCTCTTCTCCCCTCTCAGTGGACTACCCCCAGATCGGCACAGATGCCTATGGTATGTGTGTTAAACCTTTTGAGACTTCTCAAAAACTGCCTATCTAGGATTGCACCCATTTATGTTTCCACCGATTCCACTTCAGTGTGGAATCTATCAAAAATCTGGGATCCATGATTTCATTAACCAGTTCTACCTCAAGCTCTTACATGGTTCCTTTGCAGCCAATCAAAGGATGCAGATCGTGGTCTTGGGTCCCCTGTTGAAACTATCTGCGTGTGATGAGACGATTTTTGAGTCGACTCAAAATCGTCTCATCTTGGTGACTTGGGTCACCTGCTGAAGCTATCTTTGCTCTCTCTCTCTCTTGATCTCTTGCGTGGACTTCCCCCACTGCCTGCACCCCTCTTTCCTCCTCACCAGGATTTTACGCATCAATAAACCATTTTTCGGAGACATTTGACCAATATTACGGGGCGGGCATATAGTGAGTGTATTTTCTATCAGGGAAACCTTACATACAACAGGTATTTGCAAGGGAGAAACGCATTGTCGGCCCCCTTCTTGCAAGAAATATAATGCATTGCTTATGCCTACGATCGTCGTAACACTTCCAACCAAGTACCATCCATGCCTGACTCATGCACGCACACATGCACCTCACCATGTGGGGACTCATCCATTCGGCCATGGTGGGAACTTGCCCCTCATCTTCTCCTTCTTCTCCCGTTCCTGCTCCTCCCTCACCCCCTTCCTGCACCTTCCCTCCCCCTCTCCTCTCCCCTGCCAGTGCAATTTCCAAGTCACAGCTCCAAACGCCTGAAAACGCCACCATTCTCCGCTTTGCCGTACCTTACACAGAGACCCTCAGCAACCCCGCATTCACAATTTACCCTCAGAAGGTTGCTGCTGATGGGGACTATGACTACAGCCATGGCGGCACCATGTACTTTGGATGGACGGGAGTTAACCCCAACCCTGGCGCTCCAAACGAAACCGTGCTCGTTGCCAACTATAGCACAGTTGGAGCCTTTGCTATAACGGGGACAAGTGCCCTGGGAACCCCTGAAGCCGAGAGTTTGGTTGAGCCGCACTGTGCTGCTGTCAACACTCCTCTGTACTTCAATCCGTTGCCTGTGGAGCAGAAACCAGGACCAGTTCCACTGGCTTGGAAGATGAACCAAACAATCAAACCCATCGGCCCTGCATATACAGATGCGAGAGGAGTGGTGGTGTTTCCTGGGAAGAGGCAGATGTGGTTGGGATTTATGTCGGCTTTTGGCAAGGACATGAGCGCTTCTGCTGCGGTCGTGAGGCTCCGCTTGTCCCTCAGGCCCCAGCGCAAGTGGCGGCCGTTTCGGGTGTTTCTGGAGCGGTTCAAAGCGGTGGGGATGGGCGGGGGGAACAGCCTCATTCAGCCGACCATCGCTCTCAACAGGTGGGAGAGAGGGGGGTGGAGGACCAAGAGGAGGGAGGGGAGGTGGAAGGAGCATTTAGAAAGCATCGGGATTTATTTGGATTGATTGCAGCCTGGATTGATTGGCTTTGCATTTTATCCCTCGGGAGTCGGGACGAGGATGTTAGTAACGTAGCCCTCTTTTCTTCAAAAAGGGTGTTCAAAACGCGCTCACATAGCAACATAGCATCATCCCCTTCCGCTGCCTTTTCCTCTTCTCTTTCTTGCCAACCCACCCATCTACACGTTGTTGGAGAGAAAAGAGGGTCAAATCTGCTCTGCAACGCATCTCAAACCCCATCTCTCACCCTTTCCGTCACCGCTCTCACCCTTTGCCATGCCCTCATTCACTACCCTCCCCAGGCACGGCAAGGGCATCATAGCAGCATCGCTGGCAGGGCGTTCCTTCTACCCCTCAGCTGCCTATGCCACTCTCAATGCCAACGTGGATATCGGCCGCGTGGTTGTTGCTGGCGCGGGAAAGGCTCCTCTCGACGACTACAAGGGTGAGTCTGCTTGGTCCTCTGCTTGTTTTGAGGCGCCTTAAAAAAGTTGCCCGTGTGGTTGTTGCTGGCCTGGAAAAGGCTCCTCTTGTGGTTGTGAACGACTACAAGGGTGAGTCTGCTGGGTCATCTGCTTGTTGCTCAGCTGCCTGTTGGTACTTTTTGTGCCTTTTGCCAGTTGGATCTAACAGCATTTGTTGCTGACTCAAAAGCTACCTTGGGACTGCCACACATGCCACCTTGGGACTGCTGCACATGCCATGCACCTTTCTTCCCACCAGGGTACTGGGATAGGAAAGAGGTCAGGGGGGTGAGAGAGAAAGGTCATGCGAGGATGAGAGATAATGCCGGGACACGCACCTGCGCCCAGAGGAGCAGAGTCTCTGAATGGTGTAGCATAGCATGGAGTAGCATCGGTACGGCGAATGCATGGCAACGGCGGTGGAAGAGGAGGGCAACAACCGAGTGGTACCAAGGGGGCCACCCTCACCCCCCTCCTCCCACACACACCTGCGCCCCTCTCTCTCCCCCCCCCCACGCTCCAGGGTACCGCGAGGGTGCAACGGAGCATCGGTACGGGGACTACATGGCAGCGACGGTAGACGAGGAGGGCAACGCGTGGGCGGCAGTGCAGTATGTGGCTGGTGAGCCCAGGAGTGAGTGGAGCAACTGGGCTACCTACGTCTTCAAAGTCGACCTGCATGGGGGGGAGGACGTGGGGAACGGGGGGGATGGGGGGGGGTGGGGGAAATGGGGGGAATGGAGACGGAGGAAATGGGGATGACGGGGGAGATGGAGACCACGGAGGGGATGGGGGTCATGTTGGGAGTTAGGCGACAGGTGGGAGGAGTGGAAGGGGGACAGGGTGGAGGAGGAGGGCAACGCGTGGGCGGCAGTGCAGTATGTGTCGGGGAAGCCGTGAACTGAGTGGAACAACTGGGCCACCTTTCTCTTCAAAGTCAACTTGAAGGGGGGAATGCGATGGGGGGAAAAGGGGGAATGGGCTTCATGAAGAGGGTGGGGATAACGTGGGGATGGGTGTTAAGAGGGGAATAAAGTGGGAAATGGGGAGAAGGGGGGAGATGGGGAGAAGGATGCATTGACAGCAGTGATGGCAATAGTGGTGGAAAAAGCAATGGCATGGCAGTAATGGAGATGATTGTGTTGGTGGAAGGGAGACTGGGGAGAGGACGGGGACATGGAGGGAGGGGCGAGTGTTGACTTTTGAGTCATCTCAAAAGGAGGATGCCTGACAGCAGCGACGGCAATAGCGGTGGCAATAGTGATGGCATGGCAGTGACGGAGATTATTGTGTTGGTGGAAGGGAGACTGGGCTGGGGGATATGAAGGGAGGGGCGATTGAGGAACCGGGTTCACGAATTCTGAAAGTCAAGACGAAATGGTAATGGTGGTAGGTAATGGTCAGCTGTGTGTTGCTACTTCAGCAGCACTGGGCCACTGGCCGTCATCCTGCAACTTCTGCCATGACAACCTATCTCATGCCACACATTCTCCTATGCTGCTAGTACTTGTCTTGAACCACTGCGTTTGTGTTGGATAGTTTAGTGGTTGTTGAAGTTGAGTACATCAGCTTGTAAATGCAGCGTGCTTCGTATCATATGGGGCTCGTGCTTCATATCATAAGGAAAATGAGTGCCTCATCTAGAATATACAACATACAGCCTCACCATTAAACACTGGACAAAACTCCACATGATGCAGTGGCTATTCAATGTGTGCATGACTATTTCATTTTGCAGATGTAGCACATTCTTTTAGAGATGTTTTAGTTCATGCAGTAGTTGCCACTACCCACTGTACAATATACCGAACTGTACATGTACCCCATGGATTTGTTTCCGCACCATTTTGTGGGGAAAATATGTCAATGGTAACTTATATGGGGCACTATAACGTGTACTGTAACGATTACATGTTGTTTTCACGCGTTTGGTAACTCGCTTAACGCGTTTGGTAACAATACACTAGCAGCGGATCACACGAATGGTAACTAGAAGAAACCTTCGCCCAAAATGACCCTGATTCTGGTTTTTCCCGCTCGCGCCAGACATAATTGACGAATCTTGAAGCAGCGAAGTCTGACACACTTTCCGAAATTCTGACACACTTTCCGAAATTTTGACACACTTTCCCGAAATTCTGACACACTATCCAATACCCGGGCTAATTACGAGAAAGTAGCTGTTGTGAAAACAATTGTTTAGACATATCTGATATTCTGGAGCTCTTTCGTAAAATTGTTCATAGTTCATTCTATCGTACAGCCGGGGCAAACAGATATATACCCCTTTCAGATGGCAAATGATTTCGAGAGTATCAACCCTAAACTCCTTGCGACAAGATTTGCAGGTAATATTTCTTAAATAAAGCATGCAATTTGAAAGGGGCGTATTATTTTCCCACATGCAACATTATCAAACGTTGAAGTTATTACAACATTAAAAACAAAACAAATGTCGCATTTCCTGGAAACTTTTATCATTTTGCAAGTATGCAATCATGCTAGCAAAAGTATGATATCTACTGTTAGTACTATTTTTCCGAGCTTAAAATATATATGAAGCGGCTCTGAAACTATTTGGTCCGTCGTAAGAGAACAATATAGATCCTTCAAAATCACGGCGGGAATCGTTCAATAAAGTTAAAACGGTATGTAAAAGCTTTCAAATTTGCCAAAGTCTTGTACTCAGGATCATTTCGGCGGGAGTTTCATTTAGTTACCATTCGCGTGATCACTCGCCTGTGCCAAGTTACCAAGTGCGGGAAACGAGTTACCAACGCGTGAAAAGATACCGTAATAGTTACTGTACGCATTAAAAAGCCTCTTTTTTGTTACCATTGGCATACTTTCCCCCATTTCGTGGCCCCTGCATGTCGGGTTGATCGTTCAAGAGTCGAGTCCGATACCAGTTGGTCTGGCAGGACGGTCAATCACTGTGGAGTGTAGTGGGTGTTCCCAAGGGTAGCCGAGTGGTTCAACCAGCAGAAATCCCAAGAGGGATCAGGTTCTCGTTTTTTGTTTCAACCCATCGTGCCTAATGCTTTACAACCGAAGCGCCTGTTTTCCAGCTCTCCTAGCACGATCTTGAATCGATCCCATGGAGAGTCACGGTCGTGGCGCGGTTGACGGAAGGCAGCTGCTGCTGCTTGCTGCGTCTACCTCGTTCACGTTTCTCGTCGTCACCGCGTCGATCGCCAGCGATCAGCCAAGTACGGAAGCAACGGATCGGGTGCTGAAACGTTTCAGAATTGGGTTCGATTCGAGTTGAACCGTCTGGTCGAGCAAATTGCGGATTGTTGGCTTTCGTTTGCAAGAACTGCCAGATTTGTTTCGAGAGTGACGCAAGCAAGCGGAGAGCTATGTGAGAAGTACGACAATTGTTGGGAAAGGAGCATCGGGATTGCCTGTGTGGTTAGAAGGGGAGGCTACGGGCAGAGGGGACTGGAGTGCTGCAGCTGTGTTGATCCAATCGACGAAGTTGGCCTTTTCAATTGAAAACGAATGTTGATCGGCTCAGATTGTCGAAATTCTAGAACACGGTCACTAGCGCGTGCGTTATAGTCAAGAACACCCCTCTCTCTTCCGTCTCCCTCTCCATTCACTCCTCCTCACCTCCACTCCCCCTCCTTCCCATAACCTCTCTCAAGATACCTCTACCACCGCTTCGCTTCTCGCCTCACCCACTCTCATCCGTCACTGCAACCCCTTGAATTGTGTGTTCTTGGCTCAACGTTTCCCACATGCCCCCATTCCCCTCAGTCACCCCATCCCCATCCCCTCCTCATCCCGCCAATTCCCCCATTTTCCCCTCGATCCTCCCATTTCTTCCCCCCTTTCCGCGCACCCGCCGTCCCCCCGTCCCTGGTCGCACCAGGTGCCAGGAGACAGCAGGCGGAGCAGCCGAATCTGGTGGGCAGGGTGGAGGAGTTCGAAGGCGAGCTGGGATATCACGTGAAAGTCAAATTCAGGTCCGTGCACACGCCACGTAGGCCAGTTCCACGTGCCACGTGGGACAGTTCCACGTGCCACGTTTATCAGTTCCCCATGCTGCTCCCCCTCCCTCCCTCCCTCGCTCCCTCCATCCCCATCCCCGCCCCTATCCCCATCCCCATCCCCATCCCCTTCCCCATCCCCATCCCCATCCCCGTCCCCATCCCCATCCCCTTCCCCATCCCCTTCCCCATCCTCATCCCCATCCCCATCCCCTTCCCCTTCCCCTTCCCGCTTTCCCCATCCCCATCCCCATTCCCATCCCCATCCCCATCCCCATCCCCATCCCCATCCCCATCCCCATCCCCATCCTCACCCCCATCCTCACCCCCATCCTCACCCCCATCCTCAACCCCTGTTCTCCAGATCTCATCCCGAGCGCATGAGGTTGCCCATCCGCCCCCTGGGATTCCCCCTGGACACGGCCCTGCTGCCCAACATCATGATGGGCTATTATGACCGCTTGCAAGCGCCAAACCCCAAATCCTTCGACCCGTTCAGGCACCTGGCCAGGCACGCCAGCGCCTCAGGTGGTCCCTCAGGTGGCCCCTCAGGTGCCTCCAGCGACTCAAGCTCTCTCGTGAAACTGGCCTGCCACGGACCCTCCTGCCCCTCATTCGGACCCTGCTCAGGTGAATTCCCAAATATTCAGGCATGCTGGAACGAACACCTGGTGGATGAGGCAGAAAAAGACATACCCCCGCCAGTCAACTGCCCCCTCAAGAGTCGACCAGAGGGAGCAGCAGCAGCAAAGGGAGGGAAGGCGAGAGGAGTGGTGGATTATAACGGGACGTGCTCGCACAGGCAGGACTTCACCCCGCATGAGGCGTCGGTGCTGCAGCTGTTCCGGGTGGAGGGCGCGTATGTGACGTTCGATGGGCTGGTGGTGAATCGCTCGCACGCGCTTGTCAAGAACGGGTGCCGCCGCTGGTGGCGCAAGGTGAGAGGTGTGGGGGAGGAAGGGAGTTGGAGGGGTGTTGAAGGGAGGGGAGGGGAGGGGCGGGGAGGGGAGGGAAGGGAAGGGAGGGGGGGGGTAAGGAAAGGGAGGGGATGGGAGGGTGCTGGTGAATAGGAGGTCGCCATGCTCTGCAATATTCTCAGAAGGTATTTTTTCTTAAGGAGGACGAAAATCCACCTACGGCCCACAGCACACAGCGCAGCACCTTCCAGGAGACTTCTGAATGAAATCAAAAGCCACCTACGCCTCACAGCATGCAGTGGAGCTACCTCCGACCGCCTACTTCAATCCACTGCTCCAAATTCTCCCACTTGTTCTCCTCTGCTTTCCCATCCCCATTAAAGGCCAACTACGGGCCAGAGCACAGGGTGCAGCAGCTAGCAGGAGCGGCGTTCAACAGTTCAACTGGGCGACGGTCCCTGCTTCCAACTTCTACCACTTCATGATCGAACTCCTCCAGCTATTTCCTCCCGTCATCCCCTCTTCCCCTCCCAAAAGGCTAGCAACTGCATACACCACACCATGCAGCACCTGCCAGCCCCCGACTGTTTTCCCCTACTCTATTCCCCTACTTTCCATCCCCTGAAAAGGCCAACTACGGCCCAGAGCACAGGGTGCAGCACCTCTCAGGAGCGGCGTTCAACTGGGCGACCGTGCCCGCAGCCAACTTCTACCACTTCATGATCGAACTCCTCCCGCTCTTCCTCGTCGCCCTGCCGCTCATGCCCTCGCCTCTCCGGGACGTCCCGTGGCTCATACGCGAGGGTCAGGTGCGTGGGGGAAGGGGGAGGTCGTTTGTGGTGGGGGCGATGGGGGGCGTCAGGTGTGGAGGGAGGAGAAGTCAGGGGGGGAAATTCCGGTGGGAAAGGTCAGTTTCAAGGCTGTTCCGCTGTTGCCCTCCCCTCTCCAGCGCCTCCCATGGCTCATACGCAAGCGATGGAGGGAAGGGGGGAAAAAGGGGAAAGGGGTTTTATGAAAGGGGTTTAAGTGTAGGATGGATGCCAGGACCCCTTGGTTCTTGAGTTGACTTATAACGCTCTGCCCTCCCCTCGCTCCAGCTCCTTCTGGGGCTAAATACAGGAGGACCTTGTCCCATACCTGTCCCATACCTGTCCCGTACCTGTGTACATGCCCCAACCGAACCCATTTGTCCCATACGTGCCCTCTGTGTGCCTGCCCTGCCCTCCCTGGCCCTTTTCAGTGGCCGCTGTACGAGCAGTTGGGTGCGCCCATCATCGGCATCGAACCAAGCGCCATCCGCTTGCTGCCCATGGTGGAACCCGACCTCTTCCATGCAGACGTGCTCTTCCAGGTGCGCTCTATTAGTGCAACCTCTAAACAACGAGGTGCCTTGTGAGTCAACTCAGAAGCAGCCGAGCCGAGCGCCATCCGCTTGCTGCTCATGGTGGAGAACGACCTTTTCCATGCTGGCGTGCTCTTCCAGGTGTGCGTGCATGCAGGCGTGCGTGCGTAAATGAGTGAGCGAGTGAGTGGGTGCGTGTGTCCGTGTGTGCTCTCGTGCGTGTGTGTGTGGCGTGTGTTTGAGGCGCTTCAAAGCTCGTCTGTTTATTCACGCGCCTACAAATCGGCGCTGTGCCGCATTGCCATGTTACACCCTGCCTGGCATATCACCCCACCCGTCCCCTCTGGCATCTGCTACGCCCAACTGCTTCCTCCGAACCAACTTCCCACTCTCCCATCTGCTTTTGAGTGGACTCAAAAGCTTCCTGCTCTCCCATCCTTTCCCACACTCCTCCCTTCGCCCCTCCCCCTCCCTTCTTCCTTCTTTCTCCCCTTCCCCTCATCAAACACATCCCCCACACGCCCACCCGCCCATGTTCCAGGACTAGTACCATCCCAGCCTTCCCCCTCTGGAATCTCCTAAGCCTTCCTGCCTGCTACGATCTAGCTTCCCTCTCTTCCATCCTTTCCTGCACTCCTTCCCCAATTCCCCTCCCCATCCCTCCCTCACCCCTCCCACCCCTACCCGCCCACCAGCCCATGTTCCAGGACTGCGACCACCCCAGTCGTCCCCTCTGGCGTCTGCTGCGTCGTCACCACCTGCTGCACCCCACAGGCCTCCCTCTCTTCAACCCTGACTGGACCTACCGCGCCCAACCGCCCCTCACTGCACTCCAAGCGCGGGAACTCCCCGGTAATTGGGTGATTCTGCTGGCCAAGCGGCCAAAGGGGAAGCGGCGCGCTCTAGTCAATTATGAGGAGGTGGAAGCAGAGGTGATGCGGATTTTTGGGCGTGAGAGGGTGGTCATATTCGAAGGCTCTCTCCCCGTTCTCGAAGGTGTGTGTCTCGTAGGTGCTTGCTGCCCCCTTGGTCGCCCCTCCTTTCATCAGAGCGATGCTTGCGGTGTGTAGTAACATTTGAGCTTTGAGATGTTTCGGAACAGAATTGATCTCTTCTGAAGCACTTGGCACGCCCATCTGTAACGCCTACCACACCACGTCTACCTGGTCCTGCATATTGTATCACTTATCTGAAGGGCCTTAAGATCCATGCAAATCTGCCCCCCCTCCTTCCTCTTCTACCTCCCTCACTCCCTCCGCTCTTCCCCTTCCCACCCTGCACCCCTTGGGTCACACCCTTCTCTTCTTTCCAATCAAGCACTTCTAACTTCATCAACCCCACCTAACCCTTCCCCCTCCCCTTCCCCCTCCCCCTCCCCCTCCCCCACCTCCACTCTTCTCTCTCAGCCCGTGCACTCTTCAGGCGCACGCGCCTATTCATAGCAAGCCATGGGGCTTCCCTCACCAACATGATCTTCATGCCGGAAGGAGCAACAGTGCTTGAAATGCGTCCAGACAAGTGTCCAGTGACAGTATTCCACCTGCTCGCCAACGCCTGCTCTCTCTCCTACCACGTTGTGTTTGGTCAAGGGAATTGGTCATCTGAATCCGTAGCTAATGTGCCTAGAGTAGCGCGTGCACTAGAAGATATTCGGACAATGTTCCTGGAAGAGGATAGAAGACTTGGGTAATGTCCCGCCTTGGCAGTTACAACTTACAAGCCATGAAAAGAGCATGGGACCAATGCACTTGGCACTTTCCATGCCTGCATGAGTCAGTATACTGCTTGCCCTGACCCCGTATGCTTTACAGCATGGCCCACTCACAATAAAGTAGTCTACCTGCTCGCCGTTGATCCTTCGATGAAAATCTCGAGCACATACTTAAGCTTCCTTAGGGCTTATATAAGGGCCTTGAGTTGAGTGCTAAAATGCCTTCTGGGTGGCTTGGATCGCCCGGGTGTGCATGGTCAGCACTAGATTTTGACGCTGACAAGAGGGCACTTAGTGGTGGCTCATATTTCGATGTAATGTTCATATATGGTGCATAGGGCTACTGGTCGCCTCCTTAATCTCTACGATGCTAACTGTATATCTCGTTGTTCGACATGGGCAGCTGGAATATATCGAATGTTACGCTTAGAATGTTAACCATTCGTACTGGCGAGTCATGGATGGTGGTTGGAAGACGTAGATTTGTTAGCAATTTATATCCCTGCTTGTATGTAATCAGTAAATAACTGTTGTAATTTATCGTTCATGAAGATGTATAGATTGAAACTTCCCTTCCATACACGAATACGTGGCATCTTCTTAGGAGTGAATGTAATTGTTTGCAGATGAGCTTCGAGTGGGTGCTAAATAGAATTTCACTCTCATAGCGACTCTTTACAGGGATGTCCTCGAGCCGGGAGGGCCCACAACAGAATGTGTCTACCTGCGCTTCCAGACAATCCTCGGTACCTGCGTCAGGTGCGCAATGTTAAGTTGGTTATTGTTGATGTGCGACGTTCTTCATACATTTTCATTTGTCATCGTTCTGGCATCGTCGTTTCTGACTCTTGTGGTCCAACTTCTCAAGGAATGTTTCGCCACTGTAACCCTTCCGGTGAGGGGCACCAAACGTGGTACTTAAAACCACGGTGTGAATGCTGAAAGCGAATATAAGGAAGTTAGGACCTATCTTGCCGTTACGAGACGAGAAGATTGAAACTGTTCCCACCGATACTGTACTAGCATTGCGAAGGTACAGTCCAGTTTTGGCAAGGAAAGTCACGAACGTCTTCCCGGGAGAGGCTCTTCTGCAGGTACTGTATTGAGAAGAATCTCGGGAGCCGTGTCGCATGGAGTAGGTCAGGAGGGAACGAGTGGGCCCACATCGTTCACACGCCAAACCGAACCGCGCCAAAAATTAATGTATATTTTTTTTGTTACAGATCTGGTCAGCATACGAAATGAAGAAATAACTTTCCATTCGTCATTCACTATGTTTAGTCGAATAATGTCATCATCCGTCTGTGGGTTGCCCTGCAATGACCAGGAAATATATTGAACGTTTTTATCTGCGAACTTGAAGTTTTATTAAAAACAAAACTTTACCGTACCCACTCCCAAGTCTGGGCAACCAGCAACAACGTTCTCCCCCCACTCACCAGCATTCACGCACGCCATTCCCCTCTTCGAGGATGCTTGATCGGGAACGTTCCTCGACGTTCGTACAGTGGCCTTTGCCATGCAAGCAAGTTTAGCTTGGCTGTGGTTCGCCCTCGTTGGCGCTGCGCATAGGCCGTGGAGGGCTGATGGGCGGCTCCTTCGGCTCTGTCGGCAAAATGCTGGCTCGACGTCGATTGGCCTTGTTGCCAACCTGATCGCACGTCATCATCAACTTGTCCCTCTTCCTCGGAAGAGGAGGGCTTGGTTCGGTTTGGTTGGAAATGGATGCGGAAGGGACGGTGTGTGTGCAACGCGGATGCGTTTGGGGGAGGAATGACTTCGCTCGCGACACGCCTGGTGCCTGGGCGCCGAGCCGAATCCAGGACGTTCGGAATTTGAATCCCCCTCCCCTCCCGTCCTCCCCCGGGCACCCCTGCACTGTACCTTTCCCAAACCAATCCAGTCCGAGCCAAGCCATTTTCAACACCAACAGAAACCTGGCAGATCGTCGTCGTCGGCTGCGGCAGCGTAAGTGAGACGCTCCACCCCACACACCCCACACCCACCAGAGAACCGAGCTGAGTCAGCCGACGTGTACAGTTTTGCTGTTTACTGTAGTGTCGTAGGATTACGTTCCGCCACAACAGTACCACAAAGGCAAGGGGACCAGCATTTCTGAACGGAAGTGGTAAAATCGAGCTCGCACGAGTGAGTGTACACTGTACACGAGCAAACCAGGCGATCAATCCATCCAGTTCCTTCAAGTGAAGCAGTTCTGGGCCTGCCTGCCACAGTCCCTTCATGCTCCCCCTCTCTGCCATTTCTCCTCCTCGTGGTAAAATTGTATGGGGTGTGCCGTGTACACCGAAGCCTTCTCGTTCTCCCTTTCGGACCTAACGTGCACCGCAAGGAGCAAACCAGCCCTTCCATACTAGTATTGCGCGCCCACGTCTTCCTCAGCTTCTTTCACTTCCGGCTAGACTCGACTCGACTCACCGCTTGAATTACTGATTGTTAACTACGGACAGCACTACGGGAACCACTCAAACGCATCTCTGCATCTCGTAGCAATACCTCCTGCCGCTTACTCGTAGCCTTTTCGAGGCGCTGCTTTTCAATTTGCAAATCGGTCGCTCGCTCTTCACGCCACCGCGCCGAACCTCTACTTATACCTCTCTGTCGCCGTTCGACAGCCCCCCTCCCTCCCACCCCTTCGATTGGATACAAAGACAATCCACGATGATTCTCGTGGCGGAAAATCTTCATCGCTTTCTCCCTGCCACCGAATCCACCTCCTTCTCCGCCGTTCCCTCCTCCGCCAGTTGCGCCCCCTGCGCTGATTCCCCCTCCGCGCAGCCCCTCCCCCAGCTCGTTCCTATGGGGGATTCCTTGTCGCGCGCAACTCCCCGGCACCTGCGCATTCCGCCCATCTGCATCAATCCCCCGCTAGCGGAAATGGACGACTCCCCGACGTTTCCCCGTTGCGCGGGCTCTTTTTCCCCCGATGCTAGCGAGCCTTCGAGCCCTCTACCTGTCTCTTTTGGTGGGTTCGGATCACTACACGACGAGGATATGCCGGATATTCCAATTCCCGACCTTCAGGGCCTCGAAGCCGCGGCTGCGAGCAGCGTCGCAGGCAGCGTTGCAAGCACCGGCGACGTCGCAAGCGACTGTGGCAGCGACAGTTTCAGCTGGGGCAGCAGCAGCGCCGCTAGCGCCGCAAGCGCTGATAGTTCTGAGGCAAAAGCACCTTCTTCGTCGTCGTCGTCGACGTCATCGTCGCATGCGGCGACGAAAGGAGGTTACCGTCCCGTGCACGTAATTCGCAGCAGTAACGGGGTCGCTATGCCAGTTCGCGCGCCTCAGTCCGCCCCCATCGCTCCCCCCAAACGCTTAGTCATTCCTCTTGCGCCCACGGTCCCGCTCGCTTCCCCCACGATGCTTAGTCCGAGCGTGATGAGCCAGTTCCTCGCTTCCGCCACCACCGACCGCATCGTCCGCCTCCCTTCCCCCGCCCCCGCCTCCTCCGCGCCCTGCGCCACAATCGTCAGCGCTGGCGGGGAAGCCTTCAAGCAAGCCGCAGCGCCGGCGGCGGATTTTGTGCCAGCGCCGTTACAGGTGCCGGCTACGCCGACGGTGACGCTGCCGGCAAGGCAGGTGGTATCTGGCGGCGTGGATGTGGCAGCTTGGGCTAGCGCGGCTGCGAGAGCACCCCAGGAGCAGCCGCATCAGGTGGAAATGGCCGCATGGCGGAGTCTTGAGGACGATATAGACACGTCAGCGGGCGGAGGGAAAGCCGCGGGTGCGTGGGAGGTGACTGGGTGGTTCCGGCAAATGGCGGGTTGGCAGGCTGCGAACAGGGTGGACTCGTCAGAGGAACAGCTTCTGCCAGGGAAAGAGGGCCCCCAGACGAACTTTGTCTGGAGTAAACCTCAGCGTAGCGAAGTCTGGTAGAAAAGGGGTATGGCACGACGTCACCTGAGGAGTCTGAGCAGAATAGGCACGTCTTTTTCCCCTCCAACAGCAGACTGAAGTTTGCTCCTCCGGGGTTCCAGAGAATGTCATAGGGCTTAGGGTCCTAGGAGTAGTCCCCGTTCTATGTGAAGCGTCAGTTAGCTCCATAGGGCATTGTACAACCAAATTAGTTGATTCATTTATTCATCTACCGATCCTTTTCTGATCCTGAAAAATCAATCATGAAACGATATTGATTGAAGGGAGGGTTGAATCCGAACAACACATTGATGATGATGGTGGACCCTCACTGCCACAGCAAGTCAACCTGGTTTCCTTTAGCACTCCACGGAAGCTCCATTTCAACCTGACCACTCGTTTGATCATAGGTAAACTGTGTCTTTTCCCCATCAACAAAACACTCGACCGGAACAGTTGAAGTGTAGGCAATGAACCTGCCGCTGCCCTTGACACAAGTGCTCATCCAGTGGAGAGCAGTGGTGGAAGCTGGGAAGTTCTTCTGGTGTGTGGATGTGGACAACACAGCTCCTCCACTGTTGTACATGTCAGCCAGACCAATAGGAGCACACTTGACATGCCCAGCTCTCTGCAACCAGGGAACAAGGCATGAAGCAGACTGTTGAGAAACTGGGAACACAGTTTCCTCTCTAGGATCGAGAGAGCCCGTATTTGATTGCCTTGTGCACTATGATCTGCAACAAGCCTACCTGGATGGGAGATACTGTGAAGATTTCAAACTCCAGTCGCTGGAGCATTGTGACGAGGGATGCTCCCAGAGGAAGATCAACAAGTTCTCCTGCGACAGGTAAAAAAAGTAACACTTGCCATGCACATGGAAGACAGCACCACATAACCCAATAAAGGTTTGATTGGAGTGCCACCTGAGTTGTGGGAGTAAATTGCAACGTCTCCTTCCCAGTTGGCCCCAGCAAGTTCCTCCAGCCCTTCTATGTCGGCAGCACAGATGGTTCCCGCAAGCTCCTTCGACTCGGAATCATGAAACCTGTACTTGCGTGAGTCTTTGCACCAGGCCGCACCCTGCAGGCAACTCCATGGAGGGTGAT